TTTCAAAAAAAGAATAAAGTTCAAATACAAACTGTGTCATTATTGGGACACACATGTTATTTCTTACATTTATTTCCTCCCGCAAGTGAGTTCATCATGATAGGCCTATCTGAGGTTCCTCAGACTGTATATCTGAACTGTGCTTCATAACTCAACATTTAGCTCTGACCAACTACAAAAATCTTGATTGCAAGTCTGTGATTACCACCAATGTTGCAGGACCTTGAAATACTCTCACTTACCTGTAATCATGTTTAGTTGCGGCCAAATATTTGTTTTGATGGTATTTGGGGAAATTTTGTCACTGCAACAGCGCCACATACATGGAAATTTCATCCCCAGGAAATTATAAAGGTTAATCACTATGATGCTGTGCAAACATCTTCGGCAGGCGGCTTAATACCTAAACAGAGATTCAATTTTAAATTGACGAGTTAGAGTGAAACCAACGTGATAAACACATAATCATATTGGCTTCAGAGGTAATGAGGATTAAAAAGCAAGGATATAGCTCACCAGCTGAGCAGGAACTGAGGAAGATGAAGAGGCGATCCTCACACACTCACAACACAACGCGATGCTGCAAACAACACACCACTGCTGTACAACAAAGGAGGACCACCGCCAGCAGCATTCAAGACAAAAAAATAAAAGCAAAATGCAAGTACGTAATCACAGCTGGATCTTACAAATAAACCTTTGATCACCTGAGACCAGCATCAAACAAATCAAAAAGAACATTTGCATATGATCACAGTGACAACAGACTTTAAGCAAGGTTGCTCTGGCGGTGCACAGACTTGGGAGCCAGGGGAGCGAAACTGGCTTGAGAAAGAATGCTCTTTATCTGCACAAGCAGAATGACAGGACTCAACTTGCCTTTAGCTATAAAAGTGAAGTCATGTTAAGAAAGTACTGGTAATGTAACTTACTCCATACATCGAATAGGTAAACTGCCTTCACGGGTGAAATACAGCACCTCTAACTAGAAACACAGGAAAAGACCACAGATGAATGAGAACAGGGTTGAAATATTGGCCTTACCTGATCACACAAAACTGTCTGCCGGGCGATGGAGAATTATCCCAGGGTGCCTCTCTGTCCCTCCCAAATGGAACTGTTTTGCTTCCTGTTGGAATCCTAAACAGGAAGATCTTTCTGAGGTAACGTAGGAAGATGCATAGATGCTGCCAATAGGCTTCCTGACTGAAATCTTGTAATTCAAGCAATATCCCAGCAGTGAGCACATAGTGTGCTGGACTTCAACTGAATTGCTCATGAAAAGGTTTTTTTTTTTTGTCTACACTTATCTAGCTGTACAGACTTTTTTTTTGGAGATACAATGTTACAGGAGAGATAACATGATACACTTTGGCCCATATTTTATTTGTGAGCAAAGGAGAGATTAGTTTCAATACAAATAGTTTTTTTTCTCTAAGTCAAAAGTAGTAATATTACATTTTGTTCTTCTTTTCAAAGTATTCACTTTGATCTCTCAGGCCTGGCTGCCAGCACCAAGAAGAAAACAACACGAGGCTTCTTTGTTAGGGCAGCTGCATGGATAAGTAATAGATTATTGCCCTGACTAGTCCTGCAGAGGATTCAAGAATGACCAAGAAGCAGGAAATAGTGTATATCCACCCCCCACATTTGTACTATCACCTCAACTGTGATTCAAGTAGAAGAGAAGGCAAGCACCTAGGCTATGAAAATGGCTGACTGGATTAGTTACAGGTCCTGGAGAAGATTTACCAGCAGTAAAAGACACGGTCTGCTGCACAGCCAACTTGCCGGAACTGGGTTGATCCAATGAGGGAAGAAGCAGTGGCAAACCTCCCTGCACTGTAGATGCACTCGGAGCAGGACTGGATTGTACAGCAGCCATAGTTTACTGTTGCTTAAACTGTGACTCTGATAGGTGGAGATGCAACCCTGTGATGACAAATGAGTCATTGGGACCAATCTGATTTGACAGGATGTGGTATTATTAAAAGACAAATTTGTTGAGGAGACCCAATCCCATTTCAGCAGCACTGAGAGAGAGTGAATAGTTTAGGAAGGCTTCTGTTGAACTGCTTGCCCTCACCATTTCCTCCAGGGGTGTGCAGGGTAGTACAAGACTCTCCTAGTTTATGCACATTACAGAGATTGCTGATTAAGGACCTCTCCAGGGCCTTTCTTTGTTGAATTTGAAAGTGCTGGTTGTAAATGTGAGCTTCCTCCAGATACTTCAGCCTTTACTCACAGACCAAAACCAGTGATCAACAGAACTAGTCCTCACCTTTACTGAGCTTGTGTGTACCTGAGAAGAAACAGTAAGACCAACATCTGTGACACATGGAGGTAGAGTAAGAATTTGTAAGACACGTACCAAGCCTAAATGCAGTTAGAGAAGACTCCAGTCATGCCTATATAGACCACAACCTGAACAGCTTGAGCAAGTCATGGGAAAGCTACGAGTCTACCTTCACTAGTACACTTTCTCAGACTAGCAGACCAATGCCATTACTGCCACACTCAATAACTTGGCCTCAAGATTTAAGCCAGAAATGCATCAAAAAGCGAGAAGTCATGCCCTGTATTAGCCGTAACTGTGATGAATTAATTCCCAAGATCCCAACACACAGTAGTGAGGATCTGTGAGTAGGTTCAAGCTTTGGAGTTAGTTGTTTAGTCACCTCAGCAAGCACATACAACAGATAACAGTCATATTTATGAATGTGTGTATACATCAGTGTCCACTTGCAGCAGCCCCTAAAACAGATGTGTAAAACCTCATCACAGCAGATTCATGGTATTACTTGATTCTGGGAGCTCATGGATGAAGTCACTGATGACAGCCTCCAGAGCATTTAAACTTACAATAGGACGCATTGACCACACAGCGGCTGTTATAACAGGACATTTCTCCACCAAGTTACCCAAAGTATTCACAAAATCCTCGCAAGGAAGAGCATTTACTGCTCAAATGTCTATGATGTATGTGGGGTGTGCTGTATTTTACTGCATATGTTTATTTGTAGCTAGAGTGTGTAGGGGGAATCTCTTAAATGTTCATGTTAAGATGTGCTGCTGGTGAGAGTGTTGAACCTTTGTATCTGTAAGAGAAAGCAATCCAGAGCTCTGGAAAATGACTGAAGTCTGTTGTGGTTGTTTTTTTCCATCATCTGGTCGCCTTCATGTTAGCTACCGACCGCTACCGACCCGCACTGAAAATGACGCTATATTCAGAAAGATTTAGGGGATACACAAAACTGCAGTGGTCAGGTCAGTACACTGGACAGCAGGTTTTTTTCTTTATTGAATAAAACTGATTGTACTTCAGGTATAACACTGCAACATGTCACAATACAATCCAGTGTAAAAGAAAAATCCATTAACATGTACTGAGAAAACCCAAGAATAAAAATCTTGACGTGTCTAAAAAAGTTTTACTTAAGGAAGAAGTTTATTTCCATGTAACAATGTTATACATCGAATAAATCTAGAGCGGGTAGATCTACACCTTATATAACTATAAAAACTTTGTTTTTTAAAGCACTTTGTTGTTTTCTGTTGTTTCAAACATGGCTTATTACGTTTTCCAATGCTACCTATAAGTATAAATGTCTTCCTATATTTAAATAAAATATAAAGACTGTCCATTTTACTCTAAATTATCAAGTGACATGTTGTATGGATAAAATGTTATATAGGTGATCACTGTGCATCAGATGGTTACAGAAGATTCTTTTCAGTTTCCAAAATGTCTGAGTCAGATGTGTCAGCAGTCAGCAGGTGACAGTGCCCTGTTTTGTGTTTCATCACTCAGAAATGTCCACAGTCGTCGATGCATTGTGACAATTGCTGAAGGTCTGGTGGTTATAGCAGAGCTGAAAAAAGAGAGTGAGCCTCAATAATAATGGTTCTCCACCCAGTTCTGGTCACACAGTGACAATAAGCTGTGTTCTTTATTGTGTTCATAAAAAGATGAAATATATACCTTATTTTTGATGAGGTACATGAGCAGTTCACTGACTACAGCCAAGCCAGAAGCAGAAGCAAACTGCCTACTTTCAGCACCATCATGTTGTTACAAGTAGGTACACCATCTATAATATAGAAATACAAGGACAATAATAGTAATTGATTAATTAATAATTGACATTTTATTTAAAAAATAATGTAAATAAAAAGTTCTTTGTACCTTTAGAGAATACTGGGTAATGGGTTTTGCACCAGGAGCCCACTAAGTTTGTCAGGCAAAACCTGATTTGGTCTCCTTTTAACACGTCTTTGCTCACTGAGCTCTTGATCGTCTTGTTGCAGGAAAAATTAGAGACTGTTTTAAATGCATCTGGGACCTCATCCCAGGATGAGTCTGTTTCACAGCTGCAGTGAAACAAAGTAAAAGGGGTTTAAATAATCAGAGCAAAAATGCTCTCTGAGCTGAACGGCTGTGCAGGT